CCAATATTTTCCTTCATAAATTTCAATTTACCAAAAAAAGCTGAAATTACACTCTTTGTTTTTATTAAATTGAGGCTGTCCCGTTGTAATTGTAAGTTGAGGTCATTAAATTTTTTGAATAAATGTCAAATACGCGATGTCTGCTCTAAAATTGATCAAGTTTTTTTTTTAAATCAGGATCTTTACTTTCCAAAAACTCTAAAACTTAGTCAAAAAGTAAATAACCAGCGTACTTCGGTATGTAACAGCAATCGTTGGATGTCTTCATCATTTTCATCGCACAATTGTGCAAATAAACACGTATTCAATGCATTGGTTCTTATTTTGTTAACTGCATTAATCACAAATTGAAGCGATTGGTGCAATCTAAATTTTTCGCTGCTAGATGTTGTCGGTAGATAACACAATGAATCGAAATTACCTCTGGTATAATTCTTTTAAGATGGCTTATAAACCCACGATATCGCCCAATCATGGCAGGAGCTCCAGCTGTTGCCACCGAAATAACGTTTGTGAATGGAATCGATTTTTCTTTAAAAAAATCACTCAAAACATTAAATATTGATTCACCTTTAGTGTCCGTTTTCAAAGTTTTCGCGAATAGTAGCTCTTCATGAATTTCTTCGCCCATAACAAATCGAACATATGCCAATAATAATGTTTCATTGCAAGGTAAAGTTGACTCGTCCAGTTGAATAGAAAAATGAGTTTTTTGTAGATAATCACACAAGAAACTTTCAACATCAGAGCTCATTTCATCAATACGTCTTTGTACAGTGTTGTTACTCAAAGGAATTCTTTTGAGTATATCAAATGAAGATTTGTGCAGAACAGTTTTTAAAATCTCTTCAACAGCAGGAAAATTAACTGTTCTCCAATGGTGTGCGGTTTTCCAGATTTTGCGATAAGTAATAAGATATTGTAAGATGCCCGCAAGCCATCATCGTTGAAGAGGTGCACGGTGGGTCCCTTTTCATATTTTTCCTTTAATGTTTGGAAATATTGCAACTCTTTACCTATTTTATCAGGATCACACCTTCTTAGATGATCTTCCAGCTTTGATGGTTTTATAGAGTCATTGCCTTTGATGGAAGAAAACCAAATTTTAAATATTCAACACTGTACTGACGACACTTCTTCTTAGATTCGGCCATGTTTTGTATCAATTACCTACCTGTAAATGTGTAAGTAAATAAATTAAAAAAACTTTGTTTTAGTAATCTTAAGGCGATTCGAACTTAACAGGATATGGCTATTTTAACATAATATGATTAATCAATTATTATAAATATTATGAAATAAACAAAGTTCCGGCTGCAAAACTGTTTCTAATTATTAAAAGCAATAAATCGCTAAGATCCATAATAGAGATTAATGAAAACGGCTTTTGTACTGAATATGAAATATGCAAGTTTTTACAAGTAACAGTCGCTGAGCTTCTTAAAATATTATCTGCCTATATTGATAAGAGAGGTAAGTCAACATTTTAGTAACTAAAATGTTGACTGTTTATATTATAAACAGTTGAAGTTTTTTACAAGAATTTCTTCATCACATGGAAAAATGAGTAATCAATTGTTTAATAGTATATTGCTTCACTATCGAAACCAAATTAATTTTCATTGTGGCCCCATTTTTTATTACGCCCAACGTAGACCCCCGTCGAGTCTTCCGTGGACCCCTGGGGGTCCACCTGGACCACTTTGGGAAATACTGCTCTAGACATTCCTTTTTGATGTTTTATTTTGGTGGACAGTATATTTTTGAGAATTTAATATCATATCTTTAAATTTTTGCATTAACTGATAATTTGCTTTGTTTGGTGCTCTCTTCTTGGTAATGCTTTATAGATTCCTTTATTATAACGACATTTCCTTCCCTTGTATTATTCGGATATATGGTGTTATATACTCTGTATCCTTTAAATTTTACTCTTTTGTGAAATGCGTTTCAGAAATATGAGACACATCTATTTGTTCTAGACCTAGGAACGTTTGTGTCTCTTGTTGGTGCTATAACAGTCCATTAGCATTGGCTCTCTCTGATAAAAGCGGTTTGATTTTGACAATGATATACCACCAATTGCATAAACAATTATTACATCATTATATCATAAATTGACTGCATTCATTAGTTCTGTTATCACAGCATAGAAATAAATGTAGGCTTTCCGGCGAAATATCGAAGGAATTAAAGGTCGCCCAGTTAAATCGAAAATCATGCATGAAATACCGAGTGTTAACATTCACTGACCTTACGAATATCTCGGGGTTCGAGGAACTGTCGCCGTAGTCGATTTTTTTTTGTTTTCGATAGAAACAATAACTCCGGCGTCTACCTGAATGGTAACCGATGGCGGGTCAACATTCTAGATTTAGATTAATACGGAATACCGAAGTTGTTTAAAAACACATTAGCGATAAGTTTTCTAGGACGGACGTGACCTTATCTCCGATTGTAAATTAAATTTTTCTATTTAATATTGTTGTTGCGTTTTGGTTTAACTGATATTGAATATCTGAAGATTTTCTATTATTTTTGCTGGTGTTGGATTTAATAAAACAATAAAACGTTTTTATTGTTTTCGGTACCTAGTTTGGACCTTCTTCAGTACTTATTAAGTACAATTAAGAGAAATTTTGATTTATCACATAAAACAGTATACCACCCACTTGTTGAATCCTCTCTAAGAGACTTACTTTATTGCCAGCTGGAGAGGAATCATATCCCATGAAATACTAAAAATAAATGGGCGGATGTAATATCGGCCGGAATCTAGTCAGGTACTTAATGAGGACATATAATTTCGGCCGGAGTTTAGGTTTCGTTCTTATCTTATGAGTATATTCGGCCGTAAGGAGCAGGTTAAAAAATATATAATAATGTCTTTATTAAATCAAAATCAAAGACAAAAAGCAGAACGTGTGTACAACTTACAGTAGAAAAAAGCTTTCTGCTGATTAACTAAAACTTTCAATAATAATAAAAATAATAATAAGACTAACAAGTAATTTTCAAAATTTATTAAAAAATATAAAAAGAACTCCCAAGTTAATCTGATTATCCATTAGTATTAAATCATGAGAAAAATCTCAAAATGCAATATAAAAACGCGTTCAAAAGAACTAAATAGGAACATTATTGGCAAAAGGTAAATTGAAATAGTAACAATGCAAAAACATTCTGGAATCTAATAAATGAAAACAGAAATGGGTACAAAAAACGTCGATGTAAAAGGGTTAAACACGTTTTCTGTAAATATGTCCTGAAATATATCAGTCTTCAAATTTACTGAAGTTACCTACTCATCCTAATCAAATTAAGGACATAATAAGTAAATTAAAAAATAAATCTTCTATAAGGACCACTATGGGATTTCACACAATTTTGTAAAAATAATTAAAAATGTCCTCAAAATTCAAATTAATGATCATTTTGAATCAAATAATATCTTTTTGTATGACTAGTGGTTGCTCATACAGTGAGTTTTTTCATTATTCAATTATTTTCAACCAATGAAAAAATCTAATGTCATTACTTAACTATTTAAGAACCAATCAGAAAATTCGATATGAAACCTGTCTGGCAACACTGTTGGCAACATACGACAACCGCCAAAACTGTTATAATTTCACACTTAATTTTGTAACAAATAAATTAAATAAAATAATGCATAACTCGTTTCTATTATATTCATAAAAAGTATAGTATTCTACTCGCGGATAATGACTATTATTCGCTCTATTTTCCAAATCAGTATTGTTTTCGTACCAATAAATCTACTACTAAAGCAACAATTTATGTGATTTAAGAAATAATACGGGGACTAGAGAAATGGAAAATGGTTTTGACAGCTTATAGTTTATTTGAAAATGAATAATAGATGATAGAAAATTTTTATGACCCAGGAGATAACCTTAACTCATATCATAAATCAGTGAGAGAATTTCTAAAACAAAATGTTTAGCATTAAAATTTCTAATCGGCAGAAAGTGTTATGCAGATTGTATATTATTTTGGTTAAGATTTACATTTCTGTATACATTTTTGGTTAGTGTTGAAATTTTGTAGGACTATTTTCGACTGAATGTATTCGCCTAATCACTGTAAATTAAAACATTCAATTTATCCTATTTTAAACTTTTCTGGGTTTTTCGTGAATAAGTTATGATGTTCCTCTTAACTGTTTCATATTCATGTATTTATATTTACTGTATAAAATTGTAAAAATTACAAACATAAATACTCCATGTGTAATCAGAATAAAGATCCATCTATCTAAACTGTGCGACCTGAAATCAGCTCACAAAGTACCGTTGTAATCTCAATTTTGATCCAAAATAATATTATAAACATTACTCTCGCCCAAAATTACGTATGTCATTAGATGGACCCTTTGCTTTGGACAGGTAGGCGAAGGGATTACCGCCCACCGAAAGAAATAAATATCCTAAAAGTAATTCATTGTAAATGTGATTTAACACAATTGTGATAGTTACCAGTAATACCTCCTCTTTCAGAGAGTATTTTTAAAGCAATTGATGAGAAACACTATCAAAGATATATCTGTAAATTTTATTCATCTGGTATATCTAAAACCCCTATAATTTTTTGTATTAAATTTATCATTAAACTTCAGAATTGGAATATTAAACTAAGGGGAACAGATAATATATAATGAGATTAAGACAACTGTATATTTTTAGTTTGATTATTTACCTATTTATAGACACTTGGCTATCATTACCAAACAAGATATAAGTCTAAAGATTCTGTAGAAACAAACACATCTAAAAGAAACTGTAGGAACTAGGTATTTTCAATTTGTATCACCACGATTATTTGATATTTCTCCCAGAAATATTTGAAACCTCTATAAGAATTTTTTTAAAAAGACGGTCTGAAAGAGTGCCTTGAGGTGTTCATGTTTCTGAGTAGCTCCGTTAATTGTTAAATAATCTACAAATATACATCATTAAAACGTTTTTCCGTTGTTGCAGATCTCGCAAGAGAAGACCAAGTGGTAGCCAAGAGGACTGTCCAAAAGACAGTACAATGGACGAATGCAGTGCTGCCTTGGTACTCATGAGCCTATCATGTTCACCTCACTCGCCCAACCTTACTGGTAAGTTCTTTTGCCTAATCTTTCTTTATATTATTATTTTAAGAAAATGGATCCTAGTATTTGTTTCAGTAACGATATTTTTAGAATGTTCTTTAACGTTAGTTGCTATTACATGCAATTTTTTTTTAAATAAAACATCTTATGTAATACATCTTGAATTGCTTCCATATGTATCACATGTGATACATAATTGGACTGTTGTCTTCACGAACCAAGAACGAAAGTATGTAGTCTCCTGTTGGGACTTGAATTTTAACTTCTTACTATATGTATAAATACAACAGTAGCTATACTTAATTCATATCAAACTAAACTACGATTTTTACATATTTATGATGCCCACTTTACTAAGTACCTTCCAGTACTGGTTCTTTAGTTTAAATTCCTTTAAGATTGTTAAATCAGATCGCAATATGCAAAGATAAATATCACCAGTGATACACACGGTACAAAAGAAACCCCAATCGAACGTATCATCGGTGATTCATCTGGTACCCCAGAACTGAATCCTGAAATTTAATATATTTTTCAAATTTTACTGTATTAATATTCAATATTGAAAAAATTTCTTGATTTTTTTTCATAAAAAATGGGATCAATTTATTATAAATTCTGAGGTACATTAATTTAAGTTAAAAAATCTCCAATTTAGATAATAATTATTATCATTTATTGTTTACATTTTCTTCATATAATATTTTAGAATATTGTTGTGTTAACACCTAACAAATGTCTTTATTTTTTTGTTTTGCTTGCTTGGATGAGAAAAACATGCAACAAAAAAATTAAACAATCCAAAGATATTATCAACAAAGAAGTAATCTTGGCAAACCTTCACAAATTTATAAACAAAAATAACCTTACGCACAGAAGTAATATATTAAATTCATGGTCAAATACAACACATTCCGATTTTAAAAATAGTAAACACAGATTTACACATTAACATTTATAAATATTTTATTTGCTTTACACGAGTCGGTAAATTATTTTCAAAACATTGTTATTATTTTTTTAAATTTATGTACAAATATTTGCGATTATAATCCTAAATAATATAAAAAATAAAATGCCATAGACTTGTGGTCTCACAATTAATTACAGTACAAATGAGCTACAAAAATACTACTTTGTATGATACTTTTATAATATTAGAAATTAGAAATAAATGCTCCTAAAATTGTTTCAGAATTAAACTAAATTCTTTATTTGTATTTATTCGTGAATCACGTGACAGTAAATATTTTAAAATGTCTGACCCAAACTTATATTAAACTTATATATGAAGAATACATGAAGAAAAAATTTTTTCAAAATTTTCAAAATCGATAGGCTTTGTCCCCTTATAGGTAGAGCTTGATTTTTGCCAAAAATTTCAAGTTGATATTATTGTTCGTTTTTGAGTGTGTGAAGAGTGTAATAACAAAAACCAGAAATTCTCCACTTTAACTCGAAAACTAGTCATAGTATCGGTTTCAAATTCATACCTCTTAAAATGGCGTTAAAGTTAGTATATACCTACTAAAAAATTGGTTATATTTGACTTGGGAAATTTTAGAATAAAGGGTGTTTGTGGTTTTTGTAAACACCCTGTACAAGAAATGTATGCTGTGCAATATTTTATCGCCCAAATACCATTTTGAGTAGTAATTTTTGAAAATTTGCTTTCCTGACCTCACAGTAGAATTAGTAAGATTTTGCAAAAAAAACTATCGTCATACATTTGTGAATCACCCTGTAATTAAAAATATTTTTAATTATACGTATATACTAATATATTACTAAAACATAATCCAACTATTTGAATTTTTGAGCACGACGATTTAATTGAATGACTCCCTTAAATTTGGCTGAATTTGCCTAATAACTATTATTTAGGGGACGAGTGGGAATTTTGCGTTTTAGGTTATGGTTACACAGTTTTATTGAATTTTTAATATTATTTTAGTAATATGTCAGTTAGATGTCCGTTCTTATAATTCAATGACCCTGTATACTTCAGTCCACAATAAATTATTTAAAAATCCGACGAAATTGAAGGACAATACCCGTAGAATAGAATTACGTCAGTTCTATTGTGAAAGTGACCCCCATTCGGTTTATCCTGCTGAGGAAACGATCACCATAAAAAATCACAATAAGTATCTATCTAATAGCGCAATTTCAATCTGCCCATATCTCACCGGCTTTTTCTCATTGTTATAGCGACCGAATTAAGGTCTCCCAGATGGGTATTATCTTCAATCTCCGAAGCGAAAGTGTGAAAAAGATGTTGTGGACCTAGACACACTTGTTCTACTTCTGTTCAAGTGCACTCTTACGTCACACTAGATGAAGACGTTACGAAACGCGTGCAATAAATAAAATTGTTTTGGCATGATTAAATCGTTGGGAAATGGATTTCGTCATTACAGTTTTGGATCTGTTGGTATTTAATTCGAATGGAATTAAATTCTACTCACTCAAACCTTGAACTAATTTCGTTTATAAAAGGGTATTTTTTTATTATAGCAAACTGTATCCACTCCATAGAGAATATTAGGTTTGTCACAGAATACAAGATGATTTGAATGAACTACACTACAGACTTAGATACTGTCAATCAAATTAAATGGCCTGCTTTTAAATTATTATTTAAGTTAAATGTCCTTTATTTAAGTTTACTTATAATTTAGGATTCTTTATTTATAAAGTACGTTCCTTATTATTTAAGCTAAGTTTTCTTATTATTTAAGTTTTCTAATTATTTATGTCTTCTTATTATTTAAGTTTTCCTATTATTATATAAGTTTTCTCATTAAGGTAAGGTGGGGTAAGAGTTTAGTAAAATTATGCAAGTTTATTTATATGTACTCGTAAAAATTCAACCAAAGAAAATAATTAAATTTCTTGACATCAGTACGTTACTTGTTGTCTTCCTAATATGCGGTAGTAGCAAAATCATTAAAATGTTATAACTTTTCATTTAGTGCTATTTTTTTTTTTTTTAAACAAGCTATGTACTACACACTTGCTCCTTGAAGAGGGGGCAAGTGTGTAATTAGTGTATATTTTGTTTATATATGCATTTAAAGAGGTCAGGGGCATGTGTGTAAATCTCAATGAACGATGTTTAATATGCTATAAACATTTATAAAAAAAAGAAAATCGATCTATGAGTTACAAACTTTTTATTTAAAAATAAAAATGAAACATAAAAGGTACAATCGCTAAATTAACCTAAAAATCAAATTTAAGTATGCAAAAATAGAAAAAATACATTTTTAACCATTAATTTTAGATTTATTGCATGTTATAACCTGAAAAATTTATTTCAAACCGTATTAGACCACGTTTAGTAAAGGTCGGTTTAGGAAGGGTTAATGATATATCCTCTCTAGCAATAATACCACATTTATCTGGATATTTCCAGGCAAAAGTTGAAGAGGATAAGGGATCTAAGGAAGGTAGTTTTTTGGTAAATTTAATTTCCAATTCTTCTTCATCTTTCTTTGCCTTAATAACTTGACCAACATAGTATTTTTTAAATTTTTTTCCTAATAAAGCCACTAAAACCCAGTCACCTTTATATATGTCAAAGGTTTATCCAATTCCGTCATTCATGCATCAAGTTCGTCCATCTCTCTAATCTCTTCCTCTATATCACTGTCATTAAATATAATATTTTCATTTGAATTTTCTCCATTTTTCTCTTCTTCAAAGTTTTGACTGTTGCTTCCTTCCATGAGACTTTGAACTTTATCATTTGTTATGACCTCCGCACCTTTAGCCACTCTTCGTTTTTTAACCTTTTCAGTAGGGTTTGATTGTTTAACCGTAGCAAACAGTAATTCTTGGAAGTCTACAGATTTTCTACGTTTCTTCCAGAGAGACCTGGCTGTAGCGAGTGACTTTGATTGTTATTCAATACCTGATCAGGATTACGTTGTTGGTCCTCCCATCTCTTATACGCTGCAGGATCATATTTTTCTTTGGTAACTACGTTAGAGTTAAAAGGGTAAATTCTACCTTTTCTAAAACCGTTGCAAATTATCTCAGGCTCTGTTTCTTTCCAAATTTGTCCTATTAATGAACTAAACTTCATTATGTCTCTGCCATTGGACAAGTATTTGATCCCACTTTACATTTAACGACTTGAAAAGGCTTAAAATGTGAGATGAATGGGACAAAAGCTTAAGGATTGTTACTCTATTTGTATTAGTCTGTCATTGACGTGAGACACGTGACCGACAATATATAAGTAAGACGTACCGATCAGGTCCAAATACTTCTATTAAAGTTTTTTCGAAGTAATTTAAGAACAGTTGGGATTCCATCCATCCATTGGCAGTCGCGGCATATGAAGGTCCTGGGTATTCGTCTGTAGAAGAAGCAATCCAGTCATTCCACATGTTTTTTGCTTTAAACACGATCAATGGAGGAGCTTTAAATCCATCAGCGCTAACAGCCAGCAGTACAGTGGTATTTTCCCTTCCAGATTCAGCAGTTGTTCGCGATGAAGGTGCTCCTCGTTTTCCCACCACTTTAGTCTTTGATGGATCCAAAAAAAGCTGGTTTCATCGAGGTTTATCGTGTAAGCTAAATTCGTCAAACTGTTTCTTTAATAGGTCAAAATAGTTATTTATAATAAAAGAATCCATACACTTTTTTCTTGCGTATTCCACCTATTGAGGTTTTTTTATTGACAAATTATGTCTTTTGGAAAACCCCAAAAACCAATCTTCTTCCGGTCGCCTATTCTCAAATGGTGTTTTAAGGTTATTTCTAGTGACATATTTCTCAACAGTATTAAAAATGTCACGTCGTGTTAACCCCCACCCCCATTTTTCTATTGTGATTAAACATTCAGCGAGTTTAGCTTCTTCACTAATGGGAATTGCCGTAGACCTTCCCGTAGATGAACTTTTCTTGCCTCTAATTACTCGCCTGTGGTAACTAAGTGTCATCTAGGGGATACCGTATTTCTTATGAGCACCGTATTGGGTAATTATTCCCCTATG